GCTGCTCCCGCTGGTACGTGGCCTGCAAAGGAAGCAGAGGGAGAAAGCGAGCGAGAATGGAGAAAGCCAAAGATAAAATATCTTAGAAGTACACAGGGATGTTAACTCAAGAGGAAAGAATGATACCAAAAGAGACAGGAGAAAGGAGTCCATGTGCAGTCAAGGGAGGAAAAAAGTGACTGCTGTGCCAAGGCGCAGTGGAGGGAGACACTTTGAAGGCCTTCTCTATTAGTCAGGCCCTCGTGGGGTCAGGGCGAGTTCAGCAGAAACAGCCAGAACTGACTGCCCTACAGATTGATTCCTGTCAGCTTCAGAAACATAGGAACAAACAAGAATGGACCGTTTTACTTTATGTAGACAGGTACATACACACACTGTGATCCTGACACCTGAGCACTGGGGCCATCCTGCTACACTGCCTGGATGAAAAAGCTTCCTCGCAGTTTCTAACGCATGAGACCCAAGCACACAGTTGAGTTACTGGGTGCCACACAGTCAGCCACAGTGTAGTTTTATGAGGCAGAGCATGCAGATTTAACAGCTCGCCTCACCTGAAAAGGAGAGTTTCTGGTCCTTCTCTGGTCCTGGCTGTGTTATTTCCCCTGCTAAACTCATGCCAGCACGATTGCTCATCAGGTACTCTGTGAGTCACTTCAAGTTGCTAAAGTTGCACCAAAAAAAAAGCAGCACACACACACACAAAAAAAAAAAGAGTTGAATTGTTTCCTGCTGGTTTAACTTACTAAAACAGGTCTTGAAGGTCCTAGTGATAGGGCGGAGTTATTACTGGGCAGGTGAGAAAAATGGTGACAGCCCAGCCAAGTGTAGGAGCCGTAAGAGTAAGGTCAGCTGCCTGTGGAACTGTACTCTTAACAGCCTGCCTAGCTGCTTTGCTGGATGTTTGAGCCCACCATTTGACAGAAGACAAAACCATTGATCAGTGGGTTAATACCATGGCAATAGCCCAGTGTGCGCTTGGTATAGAAAGGAAAGAAAAAGGGAATAGTAGTTTAGTAGTATAAATTGGAAGGCGGCTGTTTGTTACAGCAGGAAGCCTACTCACAGCAAAAAAAGATTGGATTCAAACAAAGTTAACAAGTACAGTACACTGAAGTTACTATCCATTGCAGATTTAGATTTTATGGAATGAATGAAACAGTTCTCTGGAAAGCTCTGGCAACACCCACTGTCTTTTAGGTTGCAGCCATTCTGCTCAATTTCAGTGCTGAAAAGCAGTGCAGGAAGGAAGCATGGGAAAGCAAATGGAAATCCGGAAGCCCAGACTTGTGTCTCATTACTTGCTTAGTATGGAGAGGGTTAGTTCCCAAAGCCAACTGTTCACTGTGCTAATTTTAATACAAATCAGTAGCATTTTAGATAGGTCCCAAGATTTTGAACTCGAGAAAGGAATCAAACCAATGGCGTTCTGAGATTTTCAGACCTGCTGTCATTTTAAACTCAAGTCTTGCAATACATTCATTGTTGCATGGGATTAGGGAATAGTTGTAGAGATAAGTAACTTCCACTTTGGAAGACCTTTTGGCAGCCTAGTTTGTGCAGCAGTAACTCTAAGATGATGTAGCTAACCAGCCTGTGAAGGCAGGAATGGCAGCACAGACTCAGAAGCGTGGCTTTTAACTCACCCCTTTCTGCCAGCAGTACACTGCTTGACACAGGTCACTGCTGGTATGTGTGTGTGTTAGCATACCTTGACAGAGCTAAGATTCAAAATATAACTGTCCTTTTATTCCTTATTTCTCAAGGCTGTCCATCCTGTTTATACCAGTGGAGTAGGATTAGGTATCAGCTTGTAACTATCACAGATCAAGGTTGCATGAGGCTTTTGGGGTGCTCGAGTCAGATCTGAACATACTGTAGGGCTTAATATTTCCATCAAAGCCTTGATAATTGTACAAGGCCTTAGGGATTTCCACTAATTGTCTGCCACTTTCACAAACCGTGATGGCTCTCATCGTAGACCTGTAATTCACAGGTTTGTTCTACATACTGCTTGTCATTTTAGGATTTTCTTTAATTTTATTTTAATTTTCTTTAATACAGGAGGCTTTGTTATTGGACTTTTTTAAAAAAAAAAGTTAATCCATGTGATGCAAATAACTGGTGGAGTAACTGCTAATGAACCTCTCTCCATTGTTTAGTTACTGTACTCAATTCTATAGCAGGTGTGGGTGAAAACTGTACAGGTACATACAAAACCTGTCCAACCTGAATGCCCTGTCTAAGGAAATTTCTCAAGCATGCCATTAAAGCATCTACTGCTGCAGTTAAAAATACCGTAGACCTACATTGATCATATTTGTCATCCCATGAGCAGAGACACGTTCTGCCAGCCCTACTGTGGTACCACCAATCAGCCCAGTGAAATTAAGGGGTTGCATACAGAATTTGTGTGAATACATAGGAAGTTTTGGAGCAGCGTGATTGAGGATCCGGGTCAGTTATAAGTGTGGGGAGGTTAGCCGCAGGTGGTGATGACTTTGACAACAGAAAATTGCCTTTTCTAAAGCTCAGCGAGGTGAGGTACAGGAAAATTTGATGCTCAGCGGGCCAGAGTGCCTCACCAGTTGTAGATGAAAAGGAAGCTCTGAAGACAGCTGACTGGTCATGAATTCCCAACTTTCAAGTTCCCAAACATATTTAAAATTTATGTTTCCCTTAATTAAATGGTCTTTCCTCCCTGTAGACTTGTAAGAACTGCTTCCTGATGGAGCATCTAGGAAATCAGTAGTCAGCCCTTAAAAAGGGAAGTGGCCTTCTGCGTCCAACCCTGTCCAAGGGCCCTGAGGACCTAAATTGACTCCCTGTATTTGGAAAGCATATTGTACAGCGCAACTGAGCAGACAAAAAATATCTGATCCAGTTCCAATGAATGTCCTGTACTGCTATTACTCTTTCAAAATATTTTGAACAGTCCTGGTAAAGCGATGACTCTGTACCCATTAAAAATGTTGAGTCTTTTGGCTGCATTGTTTGAATTTGGTACAAGGAGTTCCAAATCCTGTCCATGGCCCAAGATTTAAATTTCTCTTTACATTATGCTTCACAAATATTTCCTTTGAAATATTTGAAGCCTCCTGAAGAGATTTGGTAACCAGCGTCATTATTGACCTGCTTCACAGAAAGGGCTGTGCGGAGGGGTCAAGGAAAAGGCATGTTGTCATGCAGAAATCGGCATCACCTCTGAAGAACACACACATAGAACTGCATGCTTAGTTCCTTCTCAACAAAAGCATTTTGTCTTCTCTGCCTGCTCCACCTAATTCTTTTTATGATATGAAATCTGTACATGTACGCACTTGTGTATGTATATATACATATGTGTGTGTGTATATATGTATATACATGCACACACAAACTGAAACATGCTGAGCCTCAGATACTCTGCTCCCAGGTATTACCACCATTATCACTGCTCCCCTTTGTGCTTCTGGGATGGTTTGCAAGACCACAATGTGAATGGCCTCAGTACCCACCTACAACTGCATTAGCAGAAGTGAGGGAACCAGTCTGGGTACAGGGGGAAGTGGGAACTCCTGAAGTGGCCAAAGACCCTTGTCAAACCATTGCAGGCGCCTTTCCAGCAGCAGGAAGGTGCTCGTTACCTCAGCCCTCTGTGGAGGGAATAAGAAGGAGCAGAACGGGAATATCGGATAATCCTTCATGGTGGCTGTCACTGGCTTTCTTTGGTTAGAAGCATCTGGCAACATGAGAGGAATTTGTCTAATTCCCTTGCGCGCTGCTTCAGCCCATTCTTCTCAAGCCCATACGGTCTTGACAGCAACTGAGCCATTGCTGAAGAGGAAGACGGCACACTAATCAATGTTAGCAGCGTAAAATGAAAGTCTGTATGCAAACCTCAGTTCCTGCCCCACTTTAAAGACAAATATGGGACCACTGTGTCGAGCATCTTATGTTGTTGGCTGTCAGACTGCAATGGAATAATAAGATTCACAATTCTGTAATTAACTTCAGAACGTGAGGAGCAACACACGTGATACACTAGGGATTTTCATTTCCTGAGTAGGCAACTCTAGCTACGCTTCATCATCCGTCATGTTTACTAATCTTAGTCTGACCCCTAGTGAGCTGTCACAGAATAATCAGATTTGTTTAACAGATGCTGCACCTTCCTGACAGGCAACTACCACAAAAAGAAGTAATTTATCCACTTTTTTTTTTTTTTTCTTAAAAAACCTTAGTTACCTTTATCAGTAGCATAACATAAGAAAAAGAAGGGAAGAGTCAGCTCAGAAGTCATAAGGCTTTCTTCTCAAGGTGGGGGTGTGGAAGAGAACACATGATCCGGTATCAAATTTGCTTAATTTACCTCTGCATATAAGGTATTTTTTGCCTCCTTCCCCTCCTCCTTTTTTTGTGCAATCAGGAACTGCTGCTTCAGACTTATGAAGAGATTTTTATCTCTGAAGGAGATGAAGTGGAAGTTGCATCTGGTTAGATAATAAATTTAAATTAACAGACACTTAGACAAAAGAAAAGGTGTAAGTTAAAGCAGTAAACACATTTTTAAGGACCTAAATAACTCGCAAAATATTTTAAGCTATTAGAAGCTTCTAGGTTTTTGTCAGCTTTAACCTCAGCATTTTGTTCATACTGGATATTTCTTGCTTGGTGTGTTTATGCCAAGTAGTTACAGGCCAAAATACAATCACTGTGTGCTTGCCTTGGCAATAACACACGCACAGTAAAATTTTTATGGATTTCTTTCCCTGCATGAAGATCCATTTATCAAGCATACTGACAAATTAAAAAAAGTAATTTGTCCAACCTCTGAAATGTACCCAGAAGAGCTCGTGCTGCTTTTTTTTTTTTTTTTTAAAGCAATAGTCTTCTGTAGCTGTAGCCAAAAGGACTATCTCAGTGATAGTGCTCTCTGTCTATGGTTTTGGTGTGCTTCTGTCACCCCCGGTTTGCCCAAGATGCGATTTTGACAGCTGTTCCCATCTTTCTGCTCCTTACAGGCATCTTGAAGTTCGTGGAAATCACAGTTAACCTGCTGGTGCTGATCTGCGTGGGCGCTGCCCAAGCCTCTGTTGCAGGCTTCACCTCCCTTGGTGGCTTCGGATCCTTTAACCTGAATTCGGCGTATAGCCCCTTCGAGGGCACGGAGCTCCGGGAGGTGAGGGAGCTAGACATGCAGTTCACCCAGATGAGAGCCCCTTGCGTGTATGGCGGAGTAGCCTTCAGCCTAACAGCAGCAGTACTTACCCTTGTCTTCCTTGTTGTGGGGGCAAAACCCATCCAGCAGCTCAGGGTAGGGCTGCTGGCCGGCGAATGTGCCTTCAACCTGCTGGCCGGCATGGCGTACATCGCAGCGGTCGGCCTCTACCTGCATTTTGTCAGCCAGGTGAACTCGACGGACGTTTGCAAGAGGCGCGAGAGGCTGTATGCACGCCGTGGTTATACCTCCATGAACTGTGTGGTCCAGGGTGGCGACGCGGCCGTCGGCCTTTTTGGTGTCGCTGCTGCTTGTTTGTACTTTGCCAGCTTTGTGGTCTGCATCCGTGCTATCCGAACTGTCCGGGCCTTCCAGAGCCACATGGCCAAGGCTCAGCACAGCCCAAAAAGCAGCATTAGGGACAGAAGTGTCAGAAACCACTACACCACACACAGAACCTCTGAAAGCTCCCACAACGTCCAGGCTCTTGCCACGTTAGTATGAAGCCAGCTCTGGGACTGCACCAGAGAGCAGGAGCCTCAGCAAGGGATGGACACTGGGTTTCGCATGCTGAAGAGGCGACAGGTCCACAATATATTGTCCCACAAGGTGCTGAAGTGAATCAACGAATGTAACAATACCTCTATAACAGGGTAATAAAATTGTCATTGAGTGGATGTTTTAACGAGGTTTTTTGCATCAGTCTTTCAAGCTGGACTCCTGCATTTAAAAGGTGTTTGGTTGTCATGTTTTCATCCCGCACAGAGCAAATCCAAGCAGCAGTGGGCTGTCAGCAGGTTGCAGCTGCAGTGCTGCCAAACTCGTGCTAACAACCACTTCCGTCCCTCTCCCACGTCACAAGGAATTGAATCCAAAGCTAGGATGGGCGGCCTTCAACAGATCCTGTGCCCGGCGATGCATCCTGTTGCCTTACGCCACACTGCTCACAAAGCAAAGGACACTCCAGTGCTTTTCTGAATCACAACCAAAGCTACATTTGGACCTGTCTTGCTTGGGCTAGTGAAGCGTTTTATCTTTTGAGTCACGGGGGTTGACACATGCCGATCATGTGCTCCCTGAGGGATGCTGCTGGGAGGAACTAGCTGCAATTTCAAAGGCAGCATCTGGGTCCTTCTCCAGTTCCCTGCTGCATTTTCCTCATCTCACTGGGCACAGATCAGAACCTGAGAGGCAGGACATTGGTCAGCTGTCAGCTTAGTAAAGATACCACTTGCTTCTGTAACCACCTAAACAAGGTTTGGCTTGCTGACTCCACAGCCGGTGGTGGGCAGAGCCCAGGTCGGGAACACGCTGGCTGCCCTGGAGCTTTCTATGGGAACGCTGTAACAATGACAGAAAGTACATGCGTCCTTCCAATATCTGAACACACAAAGCGTGAGTGAACAGCAGTAATTGTATGCCCCCAGGGTTGAGAAAATAAATTTAAGACAACATCTTTCGAGAGTCCTTTGTTTGAGACAGATGAAATAGATCACTGGTCTTCATAGATGAGGGAGTGAGAAAAAAAGGCTGCTCTTGAAGTGCATAAGATTTGTCAGCTTGAGAGGAGGGAAAAGGCAATTTTGATTCTGGCTATGCTCACTCTTTTCAATTTTGTCTGCCTCAGAGTCAGAGCCCAGATGAGGCTCTTTTGAACCATAGTACAGCTTATGTGTATACATATGAAGTATACAATAAATAGATCTCAAAGGATTATGTGTGAGATAAGGTAAGCCAAACAACAAAATGTTATGGTTCTGATTAGAAGCGATTACATGGGCCTTTATAATAAGTATTTATTGTTTATATAATACCTTAACCATCTCTTTAACACTTTGAGCATCAACAATCTTCATAGTGTTATTATGCTTATGTGGAGGCATGACTGAAGAGTCTTTCCAAACTTGCCATGACTCAGTAGTGAGAGTCATGATTTCAGTTTCTAGCTCTTTGCCCAAACCCAGACCTTCACTGGTATGCTGGAACTGGCTGGAAGGTCTGTTACGGGGATATCTGGCATGCAGCTAAAGCCACAGCTAACCACTTCTTAGGCATTTCTGCCTGCACGTTTGTTCCTGCACTGCCTCTACACCTTGTGCATTTTGAATGCAGGCTTAGTTACATGATGACACACTGTTATTAACTTATACAAACAACAAAAAGCAGCACCTTGAAGTGACACATTTGAAAAGGCTGCAGATAAGAATGCATAAATCTAAATTCAGTCCTTAAATACATGTGGAACAGGAATTTTCATCTCAGGGCTTCTTACTCTGCCCCATTCATTTTTGAATGCTTGCCTGCCATCACTGCGCGATAGCAACAGTCCTCTGCGAGCATCGATTCTCTCTTTTTTCCTTCTGTGTGTGGTAAAGGCCTCATTTCTTGCAAGGTAATTCAGTTTTTAGAAAAAGGTGTGCGGCATTTTCCCGTGGACTATTTCTGTAGTGTTCCTCTCTTGGACACTTGGGTCTCAGTCCATTTTGGGTCCCTTTCCTGCTAACAGGAGCAGTGTTATGCATTTTATGGGGAGAGTCAAAAAGCGGCTGCTAGTTACAGGTGCTCAGCTGGGGACTCCTGGGACCTGCTCGCTGCCCCGAGCATCCAGTTGGTCCCAGTCACGTTGTCTCCGCTCCTCATCCAGCTGCCCCGCTGTACTCACCATCCCCTCCTGTTTCTAACCTCCTCAGACTCACATTTATTCCTTATATCTAATCTAAATCTACCCTCTTTTAGTTTAAAACCATTACCCCTTGTCCTGTCACTACAAGCTCTGGTAAAAAGTCTCTCTCCATATTTCTTATCAGCCCTCTTTATATACTGAAAGGCCGCTATAAGGTCTGCCTGGAGCCTTCTCTTCTCCAGGCTGAACAACCCCAACTCTCTCAGCCGGTCCTCATAGGAGGCGTGCTGCAGCCCTCAGATCATCTTTGCGGCCCTCCTCTGGACCCACTCCAACAGGTCCATGTCTGCCTTTTACTGGGGTCCCCAAAGCTGGATGCAGTACTCCAGGTGGGGTCTCACCAGAGTGGAGTAAAGGGGCAGAATCACCTCCCTCAACCTGCTGACCATGCTTCTTTTGATGCAGCCCAGGGTACCATTGACTTTCTGGGCTGCAAGTGCACATTGTCAGCTCATGTCCAGCTTTTCATCCACCAGTACCTCCAAGTCCTTCTCTGCATGGCTGCTCTCAACCCCTTCATCCCCAAGCCTGTATTGACCCCAGGGATTCCCCCAACCCAGCTGCAGGACCCTGCATTTGGCCTTGTTGGAACTTCGTGAGGTTCGCACTGGCCCACTCCTCAAGCCTTGGGATCCAGACAGGTCCCTCTGGATGGCGTCCCTTCCCTGAAACATACCAACTGGCCCACTCAGCTTGGTGTCATCCACAAACTCGCTGAGGTCCTGAAGCACTGCCAGAAGAGGGACCACAAAGAAAGCCAAAACCCGGTGATTGCCAGCTTCCTGAAAGCTTTGTGCTTCTAATTTGTTTTCTTCCCTGCCACAACGAAGAAAGATCATTAGGAAATAATTGCTCAGAGGAAATAAACAGTGCTGTTTCCTCCACTCACCTTCATGGAGGGAAGTGTAGGAGAGGAGAGGGGAAAATCCCAGAAATGCTCCTCAGAGGACTAGGGCAGGGAAGAAGCAGCTTTCCTTCTCCTGGAGGCGAAGGGTGAGCCATGTACCATCAGAGCAATCCAAACAACTCTCCTCCCTGTCTGTAATGAGACCATGCCTGGTAGCCTGTAGCTGGCTTGAAAATTCTTTACTGCGCAAGCTGTGAAGATGCAATACAAGAGGAGAGATTTTCTGGCGCACACAGATGACTAAGGCTGCAACAGGCTGTCATCCCCAGCTGCCACTGCAGGTGGTCCTACCCTCCAGGGCAGATTAGCCTTCCCACCTTCTGCTGCAGATGGCTGTGCCCCATCGTTACCCCTGTGTGGGGACCGCCCGTTAGTACGGGACAATAATCTGCATTTGGAGCAGTAAACAAAGGCAGAGCGAATGGCTTCTGTCAGCCCTATCATTTCGTGTAGCCTTTTGCTGCTGCCTGCCCCGTGCACGCACGTGTGCACGTCCGGTGTGCAACCCTCAGGGGCAGCACTGGAGATAAAACTCACTTGTCCCTCCTTGCTGCTTCGAAGCAGCCCCTCACAGCCCAGTTTCACCTGCAACCAAAGGACCGCACACAGTCACCACCCTCAGTCCCTCCTTGGCCAGAGGGAGCCTCAGGGTGTATGCAGCTTGCCGGCTGTCACCACCATAAGCTTATCAATCACCTGGTGCCAGGGAAGCAGTGACAGCAAAGGTCAAATCTGCACTTCCCGGCGTGGTTGTCTTGTGGGTAGACAGTATGGCCCCTCTCAACCTAAAAGCCATGGGGTCCCCACCACTGGTACAGTAGGAAGCCGCCTGGCATGCCAAGCTTATTCTGAACCTTCAAAAAGAGGAATAAAATGGTCACCCCGCCATTCTCTGGAGATGCGAAGGAATGGATGCAGGTTGCAGGGTGAACTGGAGCTGCCCCACAGGAGAAAAGCCCCACCGCAGATGATGAGTGACCAGTGCAAGGTCCTGGGATGAGTTAAGTAACTCATTTATCTCAGTTACCTGTGAGACTGTCAGGCAGCCCCTTTGGATCTGAACCATCAAATTGCACCTGTCTCCTTCAACACAGGAGCAAACAGCTTTACGCAGTCAGAGAGCAAAACCTCCAGCTGAGCTCACCAGCCATTAGCTATCCACAAAGGGACTCCCTCCGCACAGAAATCTTGGAGAAAAACAATCTCTCTTTGACAAAATGTCTCTCTGTGCCCTAATTCTGAGGGCAAAACAAAGGGCAGAAGATATTTAGGATTACTATATTATTTAAAAGAAAAAAAAAAAAAAGAAAGAAGAGAAAAAAGAAAAAAAGAAGGAAAAAACAGCAGGAGAGGGGCGAGAGGGGTGAGAGGGGGGAGCGGGGGGAGAAAAAGAAAAGGGAGAGAGGAGAGAGAGAGAGGAGAGAGAGAGAGGAGAGAGAGAGGAGAGAGAGAGAAAAGAGAGAGAAAAGAGAGAGAAAGAGAAAAAAAAAAGAGAATCCCCCCTCCCCCCGCTACATCCCACCACTGAGTAAACTGCCGAGAAATTTTCATCATGGTGGACTGTGTACATTTGAACACCCATTATCCTAAACATCTCCTTTATTCAAACAATAGTTCATAACAGTAGTTTAGTCTGGGGGAAATCTTGTCCAGAACGGAGCAAACCAGGATCCAAAGACCCAGGCATCTTGTTTCAACATAAAAAGCAAAATTGTAAGGGGTGAGGCTGTTGAGGAGAGGGAATATTTACTCCTCCAAATAGGCTTAACTGAATTATTTGGTAAATGTGAAGGTTATGCCATCTGGAACTGCAAATCCAGCACTGCTGGAAGATCTGCAGGTGTTGGGGCACTGCCCTCCTGCTGCTGACCAGCTGCAAAGAGGAGGGACCTTTCTATCCATCCGCAGAAAGGA